TTCCATAAATTTAACGGAGTGGCTATTTCGTACGTCACACGTACGGCGACTTGTGGGAGTCGTGTAGTCACGGCAGGAAAAGTCACGCAATAGAATTTCTGCAATTCCCGTACGAATATATTCTTCGATTGCACGTTACGTCCTCGTGACCATGTTGGTGCCATTTAACAAAAGATTTCTCATTAGCATCCATTGTTAACGGTTCCACAATGGCCGCCATGTTTTTGTCTTTTAACTCTCTTGGGAAATGCTTGCAACCCATCAATTCACAATTATCATTCGTACGGGAGTCTGTTCAGCGAATATTTACCAACACCTTTCAATCCCTGGATTATTCGCAGTTAAAGACCCTAATAATTGTCTTGGTGTAAGGTGAAATCAGTGATCAATCAAAATCGATATCTATCATTTTACCAAAATATATTGTTAATTTCGTGCATGCTATTTTTYATATTCGATAAGAGGACAGACAAGTATGCTGACGTCAATGAGCGCACGCTCTTTCCGTTGGTTGTTTTGATCACTAAAAAACACTGGAAAAATGCACGTCAGGGATCATTTTTTTGTGGAAATAAAAAAATCAATGTCCCTTTTCTAAGGTCTGTACTCTTATCAGACATGTGTTAGTATATGACCCAAACTTTGCAGTGAAACCTCTTGCTACGCTCGTGGTTCCACTTGAGTTTGGATCATACCATAGTTAATAGAGTTAATAGAGTTAATATGAATGCTTTACTGTCATCCACCATATTTGTTTTGATTGTGTGCATGATCAGTGTCACATGATAGTACTGTTCGATCAACATCAAATGCGAAACAATAGGCCGGTCCTTTGAAGTTTGCCAGGTTTCCTAACCATTCCCCTCTATTAACTATTATCATACTGTATGCTAATGTCATTCCATGTTAAATCACAGTGCTAGAGTGTGTATTATTTATTAAATTTGATAAAGAATCGAAATTTTTTTATTCTAGTTTGACAAACTTACTGTGAATGAAGCCACCAAACCCAAACCCAAGCCAGACAACAACACACTTGTGTTTGGTAAAGAATTCACCGACCACTACCTTAGGATAGAATGGACTGAGAGTAAAGGATGGGATGCTCCAAAGATCCTACCTTATGGAGACCTGGCATTGCCTCCTGCGGCATCAGCACTGCACTATGGTCTAGAGGTAATTAGTATTTTTAAATATTATTAAATTATATTATTATTAAATATTATTAAAATGTTATAAAATAAAAAATATTAAATATTAGATATTATTAAATTATATTATTATTATTTTTAATTTTTATTTTATTTTTAATTTTTAAATGAGTTAAAACTCACTCAATAACCCTTTTAAGGCTGTAGTCCAAGTGGGCTATTGACTCGATATGGGTAGCATAATGGTTTACTGGCCACGCCTCTCACTACTGTGGTCCAGGTTCGAGCCCTAACTCAGGCTGAATCATACGTGAGTAATTGAGTAGTTTGTTTCTAATTTTACCATTTTTCCATACAACAATAGAGCAAAATGTCAACAAAATTCCCAAAGTTTTCTTCTTTTCATTCCACAGCAAGGAGGTTAAATTTTTCAGAGTTGATTCTCATTGTGAAATTATGATTTTCCAGCTTTTAGGCATCACGACTTTTGAAATCTACCTTAGAATGGTTGCCAAAATTTCTCAAATCTCGCAGAAAGCTTTAAGTGACTATGTATCATTATATCATGATGGTCGYAACACATCTAGCAGGAATAACAAGACTGGCATTTTGTCGGGCAGAGATAATGGTGCTTTGCTTAGTAGTTCATTGTTTCCGGTGCGCAATACACTGTAGTCGACAAGGAGTCTTTAACATTTTAACTGATTTTTTATCTTTTTTAAATATTTGACCATTCTACTATTTAGCTTATTTAGGATCACTACTGAAAAAAATCAATTTAGGTGTCATACATGTAGGCACTTAAGGTGACTGCCTACTTTTGGAAATTGATTTAAGCTTTTTTTAAAACTTTGATTTTCTGAATTGAAATTTAATGCTGATTCCAAATCTGGAAAGAAAAATAGGGTGTCYCGAGCTCGTTTTCGAGATAATCAGCATTTAATGGAAGCCTACGCACAAGCTTTTGGAGTAAAAATTGTGCCACCGGAAGAGATTAGGAAAAAATTAAGATTAATAAGATAATAGTTATTTGCAGACTATATGATTGCACAAACAAAGGCTAGTCAATCCTTCTACAATAATACCTGGATATTTTTGACAAAAAGACAGAGATACATTGATTTGTCGTATTTTGTAGTTTCGGTGCTCTTGAAAAATCTCATAAAGTCGAACAAAAATCCCTACAAAAATCTATTTTTTCACGTGTTCCTGATTTAAACTTTTCCTAAAATGTTGATATAACCTAGATTTTTAGGAGTTTTTTTTCGAATGAGCTATCAAAAAATATAGAGTCCTGTGCCAAATTTGAGGGTTTTGCCCTGTTGAAGCGGTATAGCTGAAAACGCGTATGGTTCTTCAATAAAATCTCGTAGATTTTTCAGCGGTTTTTAAGCGCGCGCACTTTGTGGGCTCAAATCAAACGTTCAAAAGTAGGCAGCCACCTTAAATATTTTTCTTTGCTATATTTTGTATAATGTGTAGTTCCAGAAATCATCCATACCCACCCCACAGAGGAATTTGGAATTTCCGAAGAGTAGGGGGGTCAGAGAAAGAACAAAAGTTACAGAGTTTGTATGGAAGAAAATTAGAATTTCTGGGGGGTAGGGTGGTGTCTTAAAAAAATTCCTCCATGAGGGGGTATGAATAATTTTTGGAACTACACATTATGCTGCTGTATATTATTACTAATATAGCAGCAGTTAGGTGGACTCGCGAATTGCCGGCATTGCCAAAAATCACAAGTCGAAAAACACCAGGGGGGGGTGGGTTTTTGGAGGTCGGTAACCCGCGGAACAGGGGGTCTTGCGCGATCTGCCGGCAGCGCGAAAGGTTCCTAACTGC